GCCAGTATTTGAGAGGGTACCTTGTGGGGCTTCAGGAACGTAAATTAAACATTCATCTGAAGAAGGAAACTATACATCACTTTCAATAGTCTCCCACTGAAGTGTTTAGCAGCCAGTGAAGTCAAGATGAATTTTAAAAACCAGTGATTCTCTGACAACGTTATTACACAAGGCAATGTAATACTAAAGTCTTTTGTAAACATGAGTCCTGAAGCTGCCAGGTCTGACCAAACAGCCTCCTGTTCCCATATTGTCCCTCTGACAGTGCTCCACAGCAGGTACCTTAGGAACCCCCTCCTACAGACACAGCAGGCTTAAGCCACCACTTCCTCCAAGTACCCTCCAGCTTCCCAAAGTCTGCAGTGCAGTGCAGGAACTTTGAAGCCAGAGGGTATATCTTTACCTTCATCTCTGACAGATTTTCCTTCTCTGGATTTCTTCATTCTGCCTTTTATGTCAATAAAACCCCTTCACCCACATAAAATTATGAAGTAGTGATTCTCACAGGCTACCTCTTAGTTCTGTGATACCACCTTTTTTTTTTAGACCAGATTCCAAAAAATAAAAGTAGTAAGACATCAAATGAAATTGTATCCAACAATGTAGTCACATCCATTATTTTTTTTAATTTTTAGTTCAGTATTCTATTCCTGCTTCATCATCACAAATCATTCATTTTCAAGATGAAGACTGTTACACTATTTCATCAGTCTTCTCTTGAAACTTTTGATCACCTTTGTTTATAACATTATTTTCAAGATAGAAGTACCATAACTACACAGTGTATTCATGGTGCAGACATACAAGAGATTTATATTAAGGCACAGTATTTTCCATCTTGTTCTCTATCTCTTTTCTAAAAATTCTTTGTATTTTTTTTAACATAACTGACCATGGAATTTATGCTTTCACAGAACTATTTATTACAGCTCTTAAGAATTCTTTTCCAAGTGATTGCAGCTAGTTGAGAGACCAAAACTGCCTATGAGAAGGCTGTTTGAAATCGCATATATACTCCTTTGTATACTGAATTTATCACTTTATCATTTGGCCATTTTGTACCTGAATTTCTGTGGCCTAAGGTGTGCCAGTTCCAAATAAGACCCTTCCCAAAGCAGATAACTCATAATGGATAAATGCAAGTGATTTTCTATAACTGTTTGTTCAAGCTGCAAAGTTTCTCTTAAAAAGCCATGTTATTCTGGGGTACTTAACTCCTATGCAGGTGCCCAGCTTCAGGGAATTTCTTATCTCCAACCTCTCCACTCCTCAATGTATGTTTGGTTGAAATTGGGTACTAACAGACATCGGAAGAGAAATCAGCATGCACAGTATACCTGATCATACACGTTTCCCTAGGAAATCAGGATGAAAAGAACTCCCACATTTAAGAACACCAGCTCATCATCCTTGTGCCATCAGAGCACACAAAGTCATCCAGTGTTCCAGAACAGATATGAATTCAGAAGTATATATTCATATAGATAGATTCACCTCACAAAAAGAGGGTGAAAAAAGCACAGTGGCTCAGATATAAGCTGAGGATAACTTTCACACTAGTTAAAGACATTTGTATATCAGCTACAGAAGCATGCTTCCGGAGACTAACCTGAGGCTTCCAGAGCAAAACCTTCAAAAAAAACAACAACACAAAAAAAACCCCAAAAAAAACCAAACAAACAAACAAACAAAAAAAAAAAACACACCACCTGTTGCAAAGGAAACTGTACAAGGCATGAGACAAGGTAATATCAGCAAAGTTTTGTTTTCACTCTGCAGGAACAAGACAGACTTCTCTATCATACAGGCCCCTTACATCTACTTCTTCCCCTCCACTTCTAGAACTTTGCTATTACCTAGATGCTGGTTAGAGGTGCAGATAAAATGAAAGCACAGGATGCAGCATCAGGTCTGTGCAGCTAAGCTGCTTATCAACTTGCCTCTGGGCACTTCTGCCAGTGTTTCAGACTCCATATGGAACTATTTATGAGAGGGGGATGGATCAAGGAAGCTTCAAAGAAAATGAGAATGACAACATTACTGTAGAAAAGACAAGACGGCAATCCCAGAGATAGGTAAGTTTCATCCACACTGCTATTAATTTTAGCAGTTCACTCAACAGAGGCTGGTTTTGATGGTCAAAATGTTGCAGTTCATAAGAGCTATAATTATTATATTTATTATGCATTATCATATGTGAGCATCTGTTTTTCAGGGACATATGCTGTACCTGCAGTATTGAAAATATGTATCAATTTTTTAAACTGTGTAGACTAGGCTACAAGCACAGATGCTATTCCCTTTTGTGAGGACACACAGGAAATTGGACTGGGAATTGCTGAGAGCAAATTGTTCTGCAAGTTTGCATAATAAAAGCATAAGTTAATATGGCTGATCTCCAGAGATCTCAGATCTCACATTTCTACACAGAGATGTGTAGGTCTCACATACCTATATCATCAGGTATGATGTAGGACAGTAGAATTAATTTTGATTTCCCACACTCAAACTCTGCTCAAATCAATTAATCTATTTCCCAGTTTATTTTATGTACTGTCTGATAAAAAATTGAGCAAAATAAAATTGTATTGTAGGAAATCACAGCTCAGGTCATACCAGCCACAGATTCTAGCAGATGTCTCCAAAACTGAAACTCCTGTATTTTACGCTCTTCATAATAGTGTTATGTGATGTCCATTATAGGTGTACAAACAGGAAGAAAACACTTGCAAATATGAGTTCTTATATAATTTAAATGTAATGACTTCTCTCTACGAGACCTCCCCTCTTACCCAGCTGATGTAGCTAGAAGTATCTCCAGAAACAAAGAAAAAAATATGCAGAGAAAATTTTATTCATTAGAAGAAGAAAACCTATTTCAACTTGAAAAAAATTATATACAGGTGTATGCTTATGTGTTTATGTCTATATTTTAACCTTGATGTACAATCTCCAGAGAATCTCCTGTGATAAAATACTGCAAAAAAGTACAAAGTAATCAACAAACAAAACTGGAAAGCTAATAGAGCAATATTTGTTATAATTTTGTTGATGATCTTGTTCTATTTGCCTAGAAAAAGATGAACCATGCATGTCAGGTTACTGGTAGTCCACACAGTATCAGTCATTAAGTACTTTTCACCATTCTAGATGGCTAGAACACAGAACACCTATCAGCAAGGGAATTGCAGAGACACACGGGGATTTTGCCTTATAAATAAGGCTGGCAGGATCTGAAATTAATGGATAACATGTTTAAGTATCCTCAATACACATGCAGAAACAAATTCACAAAGATGAAAGACAGACTTTGTGATTTCATCCTGTTACTTTCACTATCAAAACACACAATAAAAGCAGTAAGATGTGAGAAGATTTAGAAAAACACATCAGACCTTGAGTCAAGAGAATCACATTTTCCACTGATGTTCGGTGATGTTTTGAACCCAGTGACAATGACTATTGCAAACCAGGTATAATCCAACAAAATTCACTCTGAATAGAGACTATACATGTATTGTAAGCACTAAAATATCATCTATTTTAGGTTAATTTTATAGAGTTACAGGTATTGTAGATAATGTATATATAATCCAAATTAAAGGGGTTATTGTTGGTTTGTTTCATTGTGAATGCTTAGGAGGTTTGCTCCTTTGTCTTTATTTTGTTGGTTTTTTAACAGATGAGTTGCCTGATTTCATACTTTAGTGTTTGAGATGTCCATAATGTCATGTGCATTGTCCATAGCTGGAGAACACTATCCTGAAATGATTATTTTACATTATCAATGAAATAGTCAACAAGAAAGTTATTGCACACTTTGACAGACTATTAATATCAGTTTTAAAGCTTTATTAGGCAAAACTCCCTAGTGTTAGCATCTCTAAACCAAAAATCACATCTCTAGGAGTTGTAACACCAAGCTTACTTTCTCATCTCCTGGTTTTGGTGGCACGTTGGTGCTGCCAGCAGGCTCCTTCAAATTGGTTCATTTGTGTGAAGGCACTCAAGAGAAAGGAGACCCCTGATGGCTGCTGTGGTATTTGCAGACTCAGAACAGAATGAAGGGAAGCTGGCAACAGAATTTAGGTGTGAAAGTATTTACATCTAGATTTGAGACTAATTTTTCCTCATATATCAGTATTAACATACACTGTGCAGCTTTCAGCACTGCCTAAGTAGAAATAACTAGAGTTTTGTAGGCTACATTCTAAAGAAATGTCTTGGGTCACGTTTTACAAGGACAACTTTGTCACTAAGGTTGTGTAAAGGAATTTCAGACACATGACTTCACAATTCTTGCAGAAATTTGACAACAGAAATTCCATGCATCTTGAAAAGTCAATTGAAATCAGATAGTTAACTTTTTCCTTAAATAACTAGCTCTTACTTCCTCTATGATTTTCCTTATGAGGAACTGAGGCAAATGATAAGAGAACCATCTTACCTTATAACAAAATACACTCGGGTACAATAAGATGTCAAGGATGAAATATCCTAGATACAAGTGTACATTACATGTTAATATCCTCTTTTCTGGCCTGACAGTTCATGGTCTCAGCTCTTGCAGACATCAAATAAGAAAAATCTCTGTCTCAGAGGAATTGTCAATGTAGATAAAATATTTTAAATATTTTGGACTTAATGCTCCCCTCACATTTTAAATTACTAAAATTTTTCTACAAAGCAAAGCTTTCTTTCAAGTAAACACAGATTCTTGAACTTCTTAACTACAATTTAAATACCATGTAGAAAAACAAATATATACTGTGATTTAATCAGAAATATGTTAATAGATGTCACTAAGCAGTACACTCAGGGAGAGCTACCCCACTGAGGTAGATGGCAAATGCAGATGTTTAGCATAAAGAAAGAACAGGGTAAAATAATAAAAAGTGGGTATTTCTGCATTCCAACAGCTTTCAAGCAAGGCAGGTGTATGAACCTACACTCCAACTGGAAAGCAAGAAAAATAATTTAACCATGGTACAGTGCTTTACCTGTCTTTGCATCTCTTCAATCTGTCGCTGGGGGATACTTTGCAGAATACTGTACATTTCAGGCATCTTCTCTTCAGGGATGACAACAGAGGCCCTATAAGTAAAGAAATCATATAGCAAGGTGAGAAGAAAGAAATCCTACACTGAAAGAAGTTTTCCAGAAGAAGTTTTCATTAAAAGACTGCTTTTCCAACCCAGAATCTTGTCCTATTTTAACAAGACATTCAAAAGACATAAGCAAAAAGAAGCAGTCTTCTTTCAGTGTAACAAAATATTCCACAGCAATTCCTTCCCAACACAGCCAGTCTGCCCACAGATAATGCTACCTAAGTCTGTAGACTAATCTGTCCAGACAATCAAGTAACTATGGAAGAGAGAAAGATTCAGAAATTCTGAATTCTCATCTATGGATTGCCACTGACTTGCTGTCAGCAGAGATTTTTGGAATAAACAAACAGTAATAGCATATACAGTGTTACAAATAAATAATTTTTTTACATATTATCCCTATCCCAAGATCATGTAACTTGCCAGAGTGCATAGAAAAATAATCTAAACTCCTAAAATGTACTCAGTCACAAAGTAATAATATCTTTCCATCTCAGATAAACTTGGGAATCATGGTGCAATACAGAGAATTAGTATTTCTGTGATGCCATATTTAGTATATATTTTCCTTGAAAGAGCCTGAATAGAGACCAGTCCCCATTGAATTCAAGCCCAAGATTATACAGCAAATCTGGTTTAGAAGAAAAAATGACTGGCTACAGAATCAAATGCTCTGTCATATTAGCTTCATTTATTTTCCTCTCCTATTTTTGATACGTAATAGATCAGAGGCAAAGACAGTGTGCATCTTATTCTGTATTTCATTTCCTGTAACCCACAGTACACTCAACTTATCACACATATTTGGTGCAAATCACTGAGGCAGTGAACTACAGGCAGTGGTTCAATGTACAACAGTGAGGGTACAGACCTCTTCCAGTCCAGGACCTCAGAGAAAGGCAAAATGTAGGAGTCAGCAATGATGACTGGGACACAGCCAGCTTGAAGAACATCACTCAGCACAGCCTGGCCCAGGCGGGCTCCACGTAGAACAACACAGAACGTAGACTCCTGTCAAAAAATGGTATCCAACATACAGATGAGGAAAAGAAGGAAATGTTGTATTTGCATTGTGTGTGTGTATGTATATATGCATCATGTTTTCCTGCCCTTCCCTTCATTTAAAAAAAAAAACAAAAAACAACCAAGTCAAAAGGAAAACCAAGTTGCCCTGTGCAATCAATATATTCTGAATGATTAGCTAATTAAAAAATTTTTACTAATTCAAAAAAACTTTATCTTCCAGAGAATAGGAAAAATATCAGAAGTGGAGGAATGAGAAATGGACTGGTAGGACAATTCTGTGCTTTATTTTAATAGCCAAACTTTAGAATTCAGTTAAGAAAACTCAAGGAGAAAAAGAAATTTAAAATATTTCAAAGGTTTGGCACAAGATGAGCAACAATTGAGATAAACTTATTTGAGTATAAACTGGATAGAGCCAACTTAATGTTCTTCTATTATAAGGCAGTGCAGCTCTATGGATAGCAAGGAAGTAAAATATTTAATATCTCAAGTCATCTGACAGGTTTGGCAGCATTTTCACAGGTAAATTAAGGAATCAGGGACTAGAAAAAGTCCTCACAGGCTTTACAGTTACATAAATTACAATTACAGAACTCCAAATATAAAGTAGTTAGCAGTGGCTCACAAGTAAAACAGTGATGAACCGAGTAATCTTTCCTAAGTGCAGCAGCATTCAATGTGTCCCTTATTTAACTGAGCAGCAGAATTAATACCATACTTATCAGACCTCACAATACCTATGATTTTGTAGGATTAGCAGGTATAATGGATACCAGGATTAGACTTTTGACATCTTATGCATAAATCAACTAAGAAATACTGATACATATAGAATTCAACACTTAGAGAAAAATAGCAAACTGCACAAATATAAAGCATGAAGTAACTAGCTAAGATTTGTACTTTGCAGAAGAGGACATTTTCTACCAAAGTACAGGCAAAGAAAGGGTATTCATGCGACTGAAATGTGTTATGGAAAAAACAAATCACTCCACCCACAGGTAATATCACAGCCCAAAAAGACATACAATTGATGAAATCTGAAGGATTCACTCACTCTTCACAGTAACAAAAAAACCTCAGAGCAGGGTTCAGTCTTGGGCAATGCACTTCCAGTGGTAAGTAAAGGATGATCACTTACCTTGAAAGTATAAACTACAAGAAAAGATTAAATCTATCAATGCTACTTATTCTGAAGGAATGAGTGCAGGAGGAAGGGAGTTTCAAAGATAAAAAAAGTTGTCGCAGAAAACAATATAATCCATTTACTCATGTCCACAACACACAAGACAAAATGCCATGTGTTTAACCTGAATCAGAGAAGACTTCTTGACTGTGTTGCACTCACCCCGAATTTAGGGACTTTGGGTCTCACTGCCACTGAGGAATCTTGCTACAGATTCAAGATCTCAAAATAAATGCTAGTAGAATTCAGCTACACAACAGGGAAAATCCCAAGTCAGTATTATCCCTAAGCTTAAGAAAGAAAAATTATAAAGTTGATACAGGGTTTCCCACAGACAAGAAAACATTTTTCCAGCTTGTGTTCCATGGCCTGAAGAAAAGGAGCCAGAATGCTCAGCAGGACAGCAAAACATCAAGACGGAACTAGGAAATACAAGGGGTTTTGCTGGCTCTTCACTTGTTTCCTGATGCAATCATAAGACCTGTGTTCATACCCACAGAGTACTAAGAGCCTTGAAAAATCTCATCCAAGAGAAGACTGTAAACAGGAAGTATTAACAACCCAGAAGTCCAAGAGTCTGTCTAGTAAGACATCTGTAAAGGCAGTGCTGGAAAGGATGAACTGTGATCCAAGTCCCCCTTCCCCCACTCTTAGACAGGAAGAGAAGGAAAAGAAGGGTGTGGGGAATGGAAGGAGCCGAGGGAATGAAAACACATTTTAACCATTGGTTCACTAGATCACACAGGAGCAGGTGGAAGAGACTAGTAAGGTCTGGGAGAGACAAAAAGGATTAAAAAAAAAGCCCAGATGTGGACACACATGCTCATCTGCCCAGATAACCATTTTTCCTGTCTAGACAAAGGTTACTATAAATACATCTCCTCACATCACCACTGTTATCAGCCAGACATTCCAAAGGGAAATGCAGGGGAAAGTATTTTAACAATCTCGGCATGTGCCAGCTCTCTTCTGAGTATAAAATCATATATAGCAAGATATAGATACAGATTCCCCGACTTGCTATCCTTTAGCAATTCAGTCTGTATTTAAAGATCTAAAGCAAACAAGTTATTTTTTTTACTCAAAGTTTAGGACTCACAGTGACCCTTTCCTCCCTCTCCTCCTCCTCCACATGGAATTTTAAACATATTTCCTATGAAACATAACAGGAGGGGTGGAAACTTTGCCTTTCCTCAGCTTGTTTGTTATTTTACCAGCATTTGCTGAAGTTCAAAGACAGATTATATGCTGGTGGCTGCAGACAGAGCACAGTGGCCTGTGGCATAACTCACTTCACCACACTGCATGCCAAAGCACCTCTGTAAGTGAATTGCCAAGAGACATAGGTGTCTGGGAGCACCATCTAGTTTTATCTTCACTGACACATCAAAAGGCCTCTGGAAGTTGGGCCAAGGCCATGAAACACATTTCACCTAGATGTTTTCATAGCTGCATGCTGACAAGCCTTCTAGCTCACTCTGTCATATCTACACAGACAGTTTTGTACAATTTAACTACTAAGCTGCATACAAAAGGATGTAATCTGACTAACTCTACTTAAATGTAACACTCTTGCTGTTAAAAGTTCATTTTAATCTTCTATCCAATTGACAAAGCCATCTTCAGCTCCAAGCTTCATCTAGCAAGGACTGGACTGTCGTATTTGAGAAATTAATTCCAAATTCATGCCTGCTGAAAGTGTTTTTGCCAGATATTTTGGAAGGTGTAGATTCCAATGTTCCTTTCCAGTTTTGAAGTGAGCAACTTTATCTGCCTCCTAAAGTTTTTCCTCCCATTTCTCCACTTCAGCATCCCATTGCTGCTGGATTTGGCAGTATCTTTTGTGTAATTTTTTTAAGTTTACATGACACTGTCTCGCGTTACTAAACCACCATGATGAGTCTCATATAAGCACAGTCTGCATGTAAGTTTGAGTACATAGTTTTTGGTCCTCTTAAGGATAAAGTTAGGTTATAATAGGTTATAATACTTCAAATTATGCAGTTTTAAAACATATCCATGTTTTTATTAATTAGATACAAGGAAGTACCCTGCCACTGCTAAACAGGAACAGAATCACAGCTAAGGAAGACACCACTGGGAAGAGGAGTCTGCAGGAGAGACAGCCTTACCTGAAGCACCTGGGGATAATCAAAGACTTGATTCTTGTAGCAGCGTTTGCGCACAGCAGGGACCCCATCTGACAGGTTTGTGCATTTGTCCAGGACCAGCACCGAGTCCCCATTCTCAGCCTGCAGAGCCTCCAACTCCAAGCGGTATTCTGGGTGCAGAGCCATTTGAGATGACAGAATGAAATACCTGCGAGGGCTGAAAAAACACAGCCAGGTCACCTGACAGCACTGCAAGTTTACTTCCAAGATGCTCAAGAACACATTTCCTTCCATTCTGGAAAAGCAGAGCAAGAGTAACTAAATGTGGACATGCTGCCAAGCCCGTATTTTCAGACAACACTGGAAAGGCTAATGATGAAATATAATTAAGTCTGGGATAGTAAGTGGCTCAGCATTTACAATTCTGAATAAATTTGTACTTGGTAAGAGTGCTTATTACATCAGAATAGACACTTGCATTATAACTCCTATTATAAACTTAGAGAAATATTATTTAGCTGCATTTTAAATCAGCCTGCTACTGATACCAGGATTGCTTGTACTTTTGTTTGGTGTTTGTGTACTAAAACAAAGTAGATAGGACACTGAGTGCTTCTAGTTTCTCCTCCCATATATGCTCTCACGAATTTTAATTGAGAAAAGATGCTGAACTGACAACTCAGTATTTAGCATTTAGCTTATTTAGTCTTGATATGGTGACAGCAGCAATAGAGTAAACTCATCTTTTTAACTGTGATTCAGTTCTGTCCCTTGGGGCAATATAGAGGCAACATTTCCAAGGAAAAGTTGAATGCCCATATGGTGTATGTTATCCCATACACTCTCAACTGCTACCATGCTCCAAAACCATGAATATTTAAAATGTGATGAACATTTTGCATACTGACATATTTTAAAACACTAATTAACACTGGAGGTAAACCATACAGGAATACAAGTTCAAATTAGGTGCTTGCTGCTTAAAAAAAGTTATACCAATACTGGAAAATAGCGTGTCATATAATTGTTATTTATACTCATCTACTTGGGTTTCCTTTTAAGACAGTTCAGCTAAAGTCAGACTGCTCCAACCACTCCCCAGTGAAAGGAATACACATAATGAGTGAGTGCCCCCATGCTGCCAAAAGAACACAGGAAGCACGAGGCCTGTATTTAGGATTCCAGTTCTACTCCATGTGATGCCATCTTTAATTTACAGCTCTGAAAACACACAAACACACACTTTATAAAGTCAGACCTCTCCTGTTGCTCTTCTCACCTCTTCTACTCATTTTCATACTGTCACTATGCACAGATGCATAGTATTTTTTTTAAACATTCTTTCTCACAAGTCTCCAGCTGCTACCAACTTGCTACCAGCTGAAATGGATTTTAAGCAATTCAATTAAAAAGGCAAGTAAATCAACCCCCCTCAGTTCAGCTCTGTAAGAGGCCTTAAAAAAGGAAATAATGATACAGATGAGTGATAATAAATGCATATAACCAGCTAAAAAAAAGACGTATGTTTGTGTGTGTTTATGTTTAAAAGCAAATTTTGCCTTGAAACTGTCATCACTCTATGACACTCAAAATCTAGCTTCTCCAACATTGCTACAAAGGAAAGTACATACCATCTCCCAAGAAATAACCCACTAACATAGTGTGATGAAAAGGTTTATCCCAAGCAAGCCTGGATTCTGAGCAGTGTGTCCTCGTCCCTCCCCTCCTGCAAAGAGCAGTCGAGGCTGGGAACCCGTCCCGCTAGTAACGCTGATGGCCACTGGATGGCACTCCGGACACCAGGCTGCCCAACACAATTTTAAAAAAAGCCGGTTTTGAGAAACAATCTCCAACACCTTTACTGAACACAAGACCTACTTCTCTTATTCGACCCAAAATGAGACACAGAGTTTATCTGACTACATGGACATGAACAGTACTACTGTTTCTCTCTTTACAACTGGTTCTATACATGCTGGAGCCTATCATCACATTCACGCCCTCCAGACAGAAACACAAAGCGTGCTTTCACTCTGACAGTGTAGTAACACCTGCGACCTACGAACAATCAGTGGGGATGCAACCAGATGTCACTCGCTGGCCTGCTCCAAGGGCATCACAAGCAGGGACATAAAGGGTGTGAGCAAAGAAAACCACTGCTGCACAAGTTTGTCCTGACTGCACTACTGTACTTGGAATAGCCAAGAGCAACAGCAAGAGCACTGCCCTTACCAGGAGATGCAACTGAACCCTAAGACTGGTAACTTTTGTGTCCAACAGAGGCTGCATCATTTCAATCAGTTTTCAATTTCATACTCTCTACAGAACACTGTAAGAAGGACCTAAAGTTTCCACATTTGTAAACGTGATCTTCACAATGAGCAGACAGATCATTGATCCCCATTGCCTCTGTCTGCCCATCTTTTAAACCCTAACAGAGGTAAGACCTTGTTACGGTGAAACTTTTTCAGCTGTGTAATTACCAGATTTATGAAATATAAAAAGAACAGCCTTCCATAACCAGTTAAAACATGTCTTCCAGACTTCCACCTCCTCTTGTTCTGAAGACATTAACAGATTAGAGAAGCCACCATTGCCAGGGTAGCTCACTTCAATGACTAATTACATGCTCTGAGGAAATCAGTGTTTATTTCCTAACTGTCTTGCTTTACTTCCAGCTACAAGGTTCACGGAGGGAAGGGCTGTGTTGTTTGTGTTTATGTCTTACTCCATTACATTAAAAAAAAACCAAAATCAGTACTTTAAGCTCTGGATGTATGTATTCCAATAATCACACATACAAATTTTCATCCTTCTCTTTCATGAGCTTAATTACAGGTCAGGTGCAAATGGTGGGTGTTATATCAGGCTGGCAACCTGTCACAGTGGTATTCCTCAGGGCTCCAGCTTAGGGCCTGAGCTCTTCCATGTCTTCATAAATAAATTGGACACAGGACTGGAAGGGATACTAAGTTTGTCAATAACAAAAAATTGGGAGGAGCTGTTGGCTCCCTTGAAGGCAGAGAAGCTCTGCAAAGAGACCTCAACAAATCAAAGGGCTGGGCAGTCACCAACAGTAGGCAGTTAAACAAGGACGAGTGCCAGGCTGCACCTGGGACAGGCCAAACCTGGATGTATGGACAGCCTGGGAAATTAGAGGCTGGAGAGCAGTCCTGTGGACAGACACCTGGGAGTCCTAGTCAATGGCAAGCTGAATATGAGTCAGCAGTGCCCTGGCAGCCAGGAGGGCCAGCCATGTCCTGGGGTGCATCAGGCAGCTGGTCAAAGGAGGGGATTGTCCCACTCTGAGTCCTCTGCACAGTTTTGCACACCACAATATAAGAAAAGTATAAAGGTATTAGAGGGAGCAGTTGGTAATTGAATCAAGACCATTAGCACTGGAACCATCAGCACTGAAAGCATCATCTATTTTAGTAGCAAGAGGTGTTAAAAACAACTCTTACAAAATTGCCCAAGCTCACCAGAAAGTTAGTAGCTGTTTGTTTTTTTTTTTATAATCATCAATACAAAATATGATATTGAATGCACTTTGCACAATTCATGGAAACTACTTTACCCTGGTCCTCTTTCTGGTAGATCAACTTCTCCTGACAACGGACTGTAAACAGGAATACTGACATCGTAGCCTTGCCGGTAAGTCCAAGTGGAGAAGCCTCCACCAGCCAAGAGAGCTCTGGAAAATACAAGAAAGTAAGTTTAAACTGAGAATGTAGAACATTCAAACTCGAGCGGTTCACTGCTTGTCATTATCAGAACAAGAAGGTGCATGCTCTGAGGTAAGCTGTTCCCTCAGCATTTGTCAGTGGTATGTTTTCATGCTGGTTTTTGGTTGACTTTAGTTTTTGTGATCTTAGTTTACTACTAAATTGGATCTAGTCACCAACAGAGTACTTAGAATCGTATATGATCATGGAGGAATGGACCATTTTTGCATTAATATAGGAAAATCTAATATATTGCTGTCATTGTTGCAATTTTGAAGCTTACATATCCTAAGACAACTTTAATCTGAAGAAAAACATTCTTAATTATTTATACTAGTTAAGATATTCTTTGATGCCTGTACTAAAATTTGGTATAGCACAACTTTCAAATTGTTTGAGACAAGTTATATTTCAGATACAAATCACAGTACAGTAACAGTATTTTAGCATCTTACAGTGACTTTAGACTTCACAGGATGGAAAATTAAATGACGTTATTTGCAACTGTATTTTCAAAGTTATCATACTAGTGATATTTATTTCCTTTTTATATTACACAAAAATTCTGTAAACAGAAAACATGAAAACAAGAAATCTGTATGTCATTACACTAAGTTCCAACAGTAGAAGTGGCCTGCGACTACATATATTCTAGAGATCATGGAAATAATCAAGGACTGATAAATTAAAATGCAATTCAACCTTCCAACAGGATGACCTGTATCATGCCTTTTCCTAGATGGGACAACCTTTTGCCACACAGAAATGCTTTAAGAAACAAAAGAGAACGACAGGTATAGAAGAAAGCAGTATATCATACAAAATTCCAGAAAAAGAAAGGTTTGCTACTATCTCCTATCACAAATCAAGCCTCTCTGAAAGATGCTAGCAGAGGACAACAGTTTTTCTGTTGCCATTTCATGTCCAGTGACCAGGTGGCATCAGGAACACATTATCCTAGATCCAAAAGAAGCTCAGATCAGCTTCTTTTGTGAGACTTCTCAAAAAGCTGATCAAACTTTCTCAGTCCTTTGTCACTCAACAGGAGGGTGTGCTATACTTTTAGCTGCTTCTGGGATACTGGTACCATATTTTTCAATTCCCGTTTATCTCCTCTGTGGAAAGGAGCAGGGCACAAATACATTACTAGACAAGGCACTAAAGAAAGGATCTTGAGGAGCTGTTCCCATTGTTGCAGCTATGATTACAGTGAAAAGCCTTACTGTCACAGTTCAGGTCAGAGCAGGCACAGGTCTCAGTAATCAGAACACACACAGGAACCAAAAGTCAATATGAGACTGGATGAGGCACCAACAATGCATTAGCTAAAATTCTTAGTTTCAGATATCACTGAATGAAATCCTTGATAAGGTGTTTGGAGAAGCAGTTTTCCACAAATGTTAGATAATAGATTGCCATTATACCAATTATCACCCAAGATCTTTCCCATCAGAACAAGACACTCAGGATGAACACAAGTATGTTGTGCCTGTTCTAATCCCCATCAGATGCACCACAGGATGCTTCACTTCCTTCTCTGACCTGCAGCACAATTGTTCAGCATTCAAACACCATGATCGCACTTTGCCATAAATGTGATTCTTTATTCAGAACACAAATTATGACAGGAACAAAAATCAACTTGAGAACCAGATGATAAATTAAGTACATGCTCAGTTTAGAATTTATGTTCCAAATAATTTCTAATTCCTTTCCAATGTCCCCCATCCCCCGGCTTTTGGTGACATGTACAACAATGCTGTGACTAGGTCCCACAGTTGAAGCTGCATGTTCTATGTCTTATCCGTATTAATTCAGTTACCAGAAGAGAGAAAAAAGATTGGCTTGAGTGTTACTGTTCTTGCACTTTATATCTCCCTTTTCTTTTTTAACACCCCCTCCCCCCAAACTGGGAAACCAGAACCAGATTGTTTTAATAGGATCCAGTGAAAACACAACAGCACCTCATCAGCCTTGAGAAAGCAGGTGTGTGTCATGCAGACTTTTACCTAAATAAACCCACAGGGAACCAACACCAGTTAAGTAACTCCACTTGGATTTTCATTGTACAGTGCATTAAGAGAGTAGGAATATTAACTCCTAATGTACTCAAGACAAATAATCTTTCAGTTGCACTAATCAGCAAGGAATGACTGTCCCTGAGCAACTTTTCACCACTTTTCAAATATTGATCCTTTCTTCTCTCCTTGAAGTGCTCCAGCTGGCCTGTAATCTAAATGTTTCTGTCCAACTGCCATCTGCAGTAGCTTTCTGCCAAACTTCACAAGTCACTGAACCCAATTCACTGACTGAAACAGAAATAAATAAGAAGTATCTTAGTTTATAAATCCAATTCTACAGCACCAGAATAGCTTTGCAAAAGAAATAATTTTAACCTCATCATTGTACCAAATCCAACAGTACTAATTAACAGATAACAGAGCTTATCTTTTAAGTTTTTTGGCAGGAGATTATGTATGTTATGGCAGCTAATACTAGCAACATAACCTCCATGCCCATAAGGCAAACTTTCACCTTTGAAATTATGGAATAAAGCACTTTTACAGTGTCTTTGGAAATTGGATTTAAGGATTTAATAAACAAAGAACTTCTTAGTGAAGCACCTTAGCCAAGAACTCTTCCAGAAGTAAAATTATTACATAACTGAACTGCCCGCTGTGTATAAGGTCTTACTTTACCTGATTAATATTCTGCAGCAAATTAATAGAACACAAGTCTATTAAACCTCATGATCCATTACAGTTCAACTGTGTATGTCTCAAACATGTTGACTAGAAGGCAGGCCACACTCCCTGTTCAAACTTCACAAATATCACCTGTGTATATCCTAAGTGACCCACAAACTCCCACAAATGCAGTACTTCTGGTGTTGTCATGGTACATAAGTCAGATGTACCACGATCAGTCATTCAAAAACAACTGAACTCTGCCAGCATGCCTTTATTTTGGCCAGCAGCTTCTTACCCTGTGCTGCTACAAACAACTGTCTTTCACATGTGGTTAACTACCCACTCCTAACACCTTTAGACATTCTCAAATTAAAAAAACACACCCACATCGCTTGTTCCTTTAGAAATAAACTAAGAACTCCAAAGGTCTCCATACTGATAGCTCACACTGCATCACTCAGGTCTCTCCAGGACTAGGTCCACACTCCCAACTTCTTTCACAGGTCCCTCATCTTCACACCTGTGACCTGTAGAATAGGTTCTGTACATCAAACAGTCCAACTGTTGACTGTCTACAAAAAGGAATGTCCATTTTTTCCATCCCAAGCATTGTTATTGCCTCTCTTATGTATTACAGCTCATGATCATACAGCTGTGGACTGAGTCAGATTGGCAAACTACAACAGCTGAATGCCAAAAAAGACTATTTTTTTACTTAAATTACTCAGCTTTCCATGTTAGCATGACAAATACTTAGGAGAAACACCTACCAAAATAATAGGCTTTCTGCCTGCTAAGCCAAGGCATGCAAGGCCAAATGTAAACGGAGATTTCAGATCAAGAAGTAAAAATAAAAAGTTCTGTAGCATATCTACTACATTCAGTTAATAAATTCACTTCTTTGACAGACACATGTATCCATAAACATGCAGTCCTCGCCATGGTCAAATGAAAATTCTCCTTAAGTATAAATGTAAGATAACAAATGCAAGTATTTACTAACAGATTAACAGACTTGTTTACATGAGACTGATGCTTGACTGCCCTCTCCAGGCTAACCCATACATCCAACGTTTCATACAGAGAAGGAAAAAACTAAAGCCTTATTTCACAGTGATGTAATTACAATGAGAAAATTTACTCTTTAAACATGTGCAGAAAAAAAAATCTGTTCCAGTACTGGAGGATGTTTTTAATTGTCTTTGCTGAAAATAAATCAAGATACACTTCACAGACTTCACAGACAACCATCTTAGCAAAGAATCCATACCTCAGGCAAGACTTTATTAACATTTGACAGAAGAGAGTTAACTTTGACCTTCAGGAAAAGCACTGGTTACAATGGATGTAACTCAGCAGAACTAAGCACACACAGGCTGACATATTAGAAACATCTTCAGCAACAGGATCGCCTTCCTCTTATGCCAGCTTTCTTTGCCTTACAACCTCCTTTTCTCTTCCTAACTAAACTATCCTGCAAGTGGAAATTGAGCTCAGAATGTATGCCTTTTAAGTTCCTGGCAAATATTTTTAAAGCACACTTGCCAGAGAATAACTAAGAGCATTTGCCCAATTACTGATATAGTCTAATTATTAAGATAACAAAAACTACTGAAATTCAGCATAGTTTTGTCAAGCAGAGCAGCTGCTTTAAAATGCCCTTGAAGCACCTGACTTCTACTAGAAAGATGCTGCTACAATCATCTTTGAATTTCTAATTTGCATCAAACAGGACATTCTGTAAACCATTCATAATCAGTTACACACCAGATCAAATTCTCCAACCTTATAGCAAATCCAACACTTAAAAGCAAACTGTCAGCCACAAAATTGAGGATGGAGCTAAACTATCAGACTTCAAATGTAAACACCTCTTCTATAGAAGGCTTTACTTTCCTTTTTTAAGAAGTAAGCAAGTCATAGTCTATCTTTGTAAAGTTTAAGGAGCACATCCTTTGCTATCAATTGCGCTTCTGAGCTTGTCACTTCTTCAGTGGCACTTAAACCCAGATCTGTCCATCACACAGCACAACACATACCTATCTCTAGGAACATCTAGGGCGGTGTTATAATCTGGTGGCCCTCCAGGCAGCATATTGAAGAGCAAATGATTTGTGCCTCGATCCCACCTACAGCAAAAGAAGAAACAAACTGCAATTAGAAGGTTGTTCTCTACATAGAGACAAGTTCTGTCAAAGCCTAGTGCTGGCATTAACTCACTTCATTCTCCCCTCCTGCATTAGACTTACATTTTTTCACTTTGTGCTCTTTACATTCACACACCGAAGTTTCAGCACATACCTGGATAACTGTGCCAAAGCCTGGGCTGTCTCTTTGATACGGAGGGCGTTCTGATTGAGGACATCTATGGATGGCACAAAAAGGCAGGCCCGGTTGACATCGTCCGTGTAGAACTCACTGTCAGAGATGGCCGTCAGCAGCTCGTTGTACTCCCTGGAAATGGTGTTGCTCACCAACGTCCCATATTCATCCACATACTTTTTCAGTGAATAGATGTACACTTTGATTTTGTTCTTGGGATTGAAGCCACATCTGTAGACATCGAAGCAGGTGTGCATCCTGCAGCTGAGGTCTCCCCGCTCAGGAATGGGGCTATCAGCAGGAAGCTTGACCACGGGCACATCATGGACGCTACGTTTTTCAACGGTCCAGTCACTGGATGATTCAATGGAGTGAGGCCAGAACTGGAACATTCCTGTGGCAATTAGGCCAAGCAGAACTATGGAAAAGAGAGTGATGTAATAGATGCGATGCTTGGTTTTCATCCTTGGGATGAGGGCTGGACCCCGGGTGTTATATTTGGTCGAGGCACACATAATGGCATCAATTAACTCTTGTCTCTACAAAATAGAGAGACAGGTTTTAGGATGAACTCTACAAGAGATACATAGTTACCACAACGCAGAGAAACACGCAGTTACTCCTTCCAGGAAAGGGTCTTTGCCTCAGCAGATTGAAGTAGGCTTTCTTCAGATGCTCATGAGTCCCACTGGAATGCAAGATGCCAAATGGGACTGCCACTTGGCAAGCACCAACTGGGCCTGATCTGCTGGGTCTGGCTGTAATGAAATTACGTGGGCCAATTAACAACCACAAGCCAGAAAAAGGCACAGCTTGGGCAGAAGGAGGGAGAGGAAATCTCAGACACTGCAGAAGTGGTGAGGCCTGATAGGTCCCACCACATCTACAACAGAGCACATTCAGAGGGAACGCTAATAAAAAAACCAAAATGCTTTTCTACAGAAGAGAAACAGCCTGGATACCTACAAAGGGCTTATAACAGGGCATCTCACAAAACTTAGGATTGTTTCTAAGGTAACAGTGCTTCTAAACTGAATTTCATAGGAGCCCCACCATATCTGATTAGAATGATGGTGAACTACCTCTGGCAAGGAAAAGGAATTAATCTGTCATCTTTCTGAATGTGCCTTGTGGGGCATAAAAGTGTTCTATGAACTGCCATTACAGCCACATTGAGAAAAGCATTTAAATAGTTCACTATAGCCTGAACTACACCTGAAATGAAAAACATGACATAATATAAAGTATCACAAACTACTGTCATCTTTGATATTTCTTACAAGCTCCTACACAAAGAACTGTCGTTCCTGCATTAACTACAGACTGAAAAATCGGCAAGCAACAACTTCCTTAGGTTTTCAACTAAAACCTTCATAATAAGGAAATTCAACCTGAACTCTCCATAATGAGAGCTTTTTAAGAGTAATAAGTATGTTTTCCAAAAAAGGAATGTGAACAGTATAATTATGCATTTTTCTTTTGGACAAATGGGATGTTTTCTTGCTTTCTGAAACTAGAAAGAAAGTCTGACATGTAAACTGTCCAGTAGATAACAAATATGAATAAAGGAAGTCTAAACGAACAAAAGAAGCATTAATATCATCATTAATCAAACGGTGCAACAAAGTGAATTATGTTTATTTTGTGTTCATAACAAAAAACTGTTAGGATGGGATGGCTAATGCATGACTTGACTGTACTTACACACAGTAGCTCTAAAATATTCTCAGATGCTAATAAGCATTCCGCTTTTAACGACTCTTCTCATCACTTTATGTCCACAATCTGATTCTGGAGGAAGCTTCTAAAATCTCCTGTACAAGGCAATACATGTGTCATGCTGTTATCAGGACAGAAGCCAGAATGCTACATTACTATCAGCTTTCCAACTAAAAACTTTCCATATGCTTCCGACTGTTAACCACTTCCTTTATTCCTCCTTCCTGACATCAGCCGTGCGATGAGCCTTTCAGTCACCCGGCGGACCTGCCCGGCCCCGAGCGCGGCTGGAAGAAGCCTCAGCGGAAGGCACCTCTCCATCCGCGGGAACGTTCCCCCTGCACAGCGCACATCCCTCCTGGGCAACCGCGAGCACGGCACAAGGTCTGCTCGCACTTGGAGTGAGGGAAGAAACGGGAGCAAGACGCAGCACGCAGAGAGGCGGCGACAGCACTACGGGGCGCAAGGGCGGAGGGACAGGACGGGACGGGACGGGACGGGACGGGACGGGACGGGACGAGCCGCCTTCCGAGCGGCGCGGCGGGCGGGCCCAAGCCAGCCCGGAACCCGGCCGGCAGGAGCCGTGCCGCCGGCCCACAGCGGCTCCCGCAGCTGCGGCTCTCCCGCCCGCCGCCCGCCGCCGCACTCACCTCCGCCCGCTGCCGCCGGCGCCGCCCGGCCGCGCCCCGCCCGCCGCGGCCGCTCCGCGCGGGCCCGCCCCGGCCCGAGCAGTGCGCACGCGCGGCGCCGGCCCCGGCGGGCAGCGCCCCCCCGCGGCGGGAGGGCGGCGCGCAGCGGGGCGCGGCCCGCGGCTGCCCCGGCCGGGGCGGGAGCCGCGCAGCGAGCGCCTGCCCGGGCACCGCCGCCACCCCGGCTCCCAACACATCCGCCTTCTTGGCTCGCTTGCCTCCAGCCCTGCGTGCCTTTCCACACTGTATCGGCCTGTCTCCTTGACCAAGGGCCTCTGGGTCATGTGCCGCTTTCTGCTGGATCACGCTATTTCAGTCAGGAAATATCCCAAATCTACACCTTCCCCAAACCCCTAAAATTAACAGGAAGCATCTTCTTGTAACAGAAGACAGAGAAGGACATATTTGTTGGATAAAACTCCAGCCATGTGGAAATCAGAGACACTGGTTTCATTCCCAAAAATGGGAGCTGACTAGGTCTGTAGGCCAAATAAAACCCAAAACAAAACAAAACAAACAAACAACAAAAAAAGCCAACCAACAAAAAAAACCAAACAAACAAAAACATAAGAAAGGCAAAAAAATAAAACAACAACAAATCAAAACCACTGAAGCAGGTAAGATCATAGAATGGTTTGAGTTGAAAGCAGCTTTGCTTCTATAGGCAAAGACATGTTCCACCAGACCAGTTCGCTCAAAGCCCCTCCAACCTGGATTTGAATGCTTCCAGGAATGGTGGATTCCCAACTTCTCTGGGCCATCTGTGCCTCACCACCCTCTTTCAGTTTGAAACCATTCCCCCTTACCCTATCACTACATGCCTTTGAAAAATGTCCCTCTCCAGCTTTCTTGTAGGCTCCCTTCAGAAGGGCTGCTCCAAGGTCCCCCCAGAGCATTCTCTTCTCCAGCTGAACAATCCCAAAATGCTGCAGCCAAACAGTGAGCATGACAATGGTACAATGGAGATATTCCAACAGCAGCAGTGTGGTGTTCCTGCATGTGACACCATGTTCTTCATCCTTCTCTGAACTCTGAGCTGAAACAGCAGACCCACGGCTGACTTTGTATCTCTCACCTGTAAGCAAGTGTCAGCTGTTAGGATTGGAACTGTTTCAACTGTTACAGTTTAAGCAATAAAGTTTTCAACAATTTTGTCCTGCCACAGAAAGTTCTCCTGCTGCAGCCCCTTCAGCTGCCTGATCTCTGAGTCAGATTTTCCAGTCTCTCTGCCCCTGGGATAAAATGCAGGCCAGCTCTGCTTCTATCTTGTAATCCTTGGTGCTTTAAAAGACTCTTACCATGTGTATCTCATGACAGAGTCAGCTTTTGTATTTTTCCCCTTTTCGATTTTTCTAGTAGCCATTTTTATAGATTTGTATCTTATGTGCAATGATGACGTGATGGTGTGGTATCCTATAATGTGTTTGTGAAAGGATGGGGGTTTGCACCTATCCCTGCTCTAAGCCTCTAAACTGAATCTGTCACACACACAGTACAGTGTCCTTAAACAGCCTTGACTGTCAGCAGTAGATTAGTTCTCATTCACTTCACCTGCCCTTGGGAAAACTGCTTTCTGCAAAGCCATCCACATGCACACACAGACAGCTCGGCGCTCCCACAAAAAAAGCCAAACACTGTCACTGCAGTGCTTCTGTTTCTTTCAACTTCTCACACACGTGGCATTGCAGGTGATGTAGCATTCTCCTCAGACTCACTGCTACCTTCTTCATCTTGTCTGTGACATTCAAACCAGCAACAGACAGCACTCACAGATCTCAAAGCACCTTTCTGAGCACCGCTACTGGCTTTTTCCTCTGGTGCTGGATTCTTCCTCCTTGCAAGTACGAATTAGCGGGGCTTGTTAGAACACATAAGGTTTCTGGGCGTAACCCATCAGCTTCCAATTGCTGCAAGCTGCCCCATTCACAAATCAGAGGCAGGAGCCCTCCTTCAGGAGGCTGGTTGGAGCGGGTCCGATTTTGTGAATTGGAAGGCGCCCCATTCATGCGTTGGGGCTGCTCCGATGAGCGCTGGATCTCTGCAGTTATGGGATTCACCAGCATGAGCAGTGCTTGGATGTGCCCGAGCCAAGGAGAGGGGTTCCCAGCCTGTCGCGTGACAGGGACACTGGCTGCTCCACGTGCAGCGGCGGGGAGCAGGGGAGGGGGTCACCCAACGCAGCCCGCAGCAGCCCACGCAGTGCCCGCGGGCGCTTCCTCTGCCTCCCCGCTCTGCCAGCGAGATAAAAGCGCATCGAATCAATTGTAGCTGAAATATTCACGGAGACTTGATGATCCTTTTATCCCTGTAGGAAAATTTGAAAATCGATGCAGTTTTATTAAAAGCTATATTAAACAAATTCAGGAGGAATCAGCTATATAGCAAGAAAAATGGAGGATGTAGTCTGTCTTGATAGAGATTTCCCTGAAACCACATCAGGGAGCCTGTTTATATTCTAGTGATGTAGCTAAGCCAGACAAGTCTGCGGCACAGCATCTATTTTTAGACACCAGGTTGCCATTTTTAGCTTGTGAAAATATTCATCAGCATCTGGATAACCAACTATCAGTTTTTATAAATGCATGGGAGAAATCAGATACTTCACTTCTCTTTGCTTTGCCCTTTTATGTTCTGCCTTCTGTGGCTCTTTGGGAGTCATTTGGAATTTGTTTTTCAGGGCTTTACCATGACACCATACATTTGCCGGCTGTCGTATACAGCAATCCTGCATTTTCTATTGGGATGATCAGAGGAGAAAACCTTCTGCTAGCAACAGTGTCTCCACATGTAAAGACACTGCATGTGAGATTCTGGTGCACCTTGTGCAGTCAGTGATGGAAACAGCACATTCTGAAAACACCTTTATAATAAAAGGAGGTAATTTAAAAAAGCAAATACGAAGAGGAAATCTAAAGATTTGAGAACATTCCCTTCGACATTATTTTCCACATATGGCATAGTATAACTAAAAACTCATAGCTTAGTTTGTTCTTCTGAAAATTTTGTTATTGGCTACTGCCAATATATAAGGTACTGAACTAAATTAAAGAGTTTCTACTATTAGAGAAAGGAGGATATTGTAACAGCCAGGTCCTTGCTTTGGTTCACTGTTGTTAAAGTCTTACAACCAAATGGTAACCTCATTTATATCAGTGAAGTTTTTAACTAGTCTGATCAATTGGCAGTTGTCTAGCAGCCAATTGCATGGTTTTCTCTCTTGATCTAGTCCATCATGCACTTCCAGTGCTACTGGTTTGTGATGGCTGGCACTGGTCAAAACAGTGATTTAAATTATGTCTGTAACTCTTACTTTACTGCATTCCTGAGATGAAAGGAAAAAGAAGTGTAAATATACTTAGAAGTGATACTGCAATAGCTCCCACTGAGGGATATGAGACACAAGGAAATTCAGTTAGGCAAGAGTACCCTTCAAAGATACTATTAATCTGGCAGAAAGATGCAGATAGAAACAATCTGCAAGGGTGTGTTCCCTCTCCCTAAAGCTTTCAGCTGTCATGGTCTGCAGAGGCATTAATCTTTAATCAATTGAATGCCTTCTGCAGTGAGGCATCCAGGGAAAGGACAGGTCATAACAAGCACTCGCCTAGAATAACTAAGCAGTCGTGCATGAGCTGTGCCATCAGACCTTGCTGGATAGCAGCAGGGAATAGACAGAGACCTAAAAATAGCCTTTCCTTGCAGTGTTTTTCCAGACTATTTTTGATTCTTCATTTTGATAAGGTCGACTGGCTATTTGCTAAAAATAACCAATCCCGGCAAACTGAGGACAAAAAGTATTTATAACCTCCTCAGACTCTTTAGTACATTTGCTGGCTGCAAATAATCTAGGATCTTGTCATCAGTCAGTTGCCAGTGTTTTATGTAAGTCAGTAATAAATAAAGCATTAATTGGAATGGAAAATGAGTCTGTCTTGCCACTTTGATTTTCTAAGATGGAACACATTCTGTATATAATCCTTGTAGGTTACCTTGCCCTATTCTTCATGTGGTCTGAATTGCTTCAGAAATAATCAAAACAACCTCTTGTTAGGTTAGCCAATTTTACAAAAATAGCTGCATGTGTAATTAAAAGTACAAAACCAGTTTTGTATGCCTGATACTTCAGATGAAGCAATTTTCAGGGGTGTGATTCACATAGCTTCCTCCATGAGAGGTTTTTTATCATAGAGCCTCTATGTGCTACTCTCTCTGACGAAATGAAACCACCACTCCGCCAACAGGATGAGAGCAACAGAGGGATTCTGTAACCAAGTAACTGGAAGAGGACTGCAGAGAAGAAGATATAAATGATAATTTGACCCCAAGGCAGGTTTCAAGAAACTGGGTCGTTATGGGGATGGGGGAAACACACAGCAGTCAGCCCAACTGTGTGAACTGTTGGATGTTCCAAGAGAGAAAGACAACAATTAAAGGATTAACATTTCTTTTTTTAAAAAATAATGTCTATCACACAGTACATTTGAGCAACTGTCCTTTGTTAGTTAAGGTGGAAAACACTTAAGTTATCAGTGAATATTTTTCCTTACAGATATTTTACTTAGGGCCTATTAAATTTCTGTAAGGGAAAACTCATTTTCACAGATTCCTCCTGTAAGTATGCATGATTTTTCATAAATACTTATCTTGAATGGGCTCCACATATGTTATCTGCTTAACTGCAGTGTAACACAGGTTAATAATTTGGAGATTTACAGATTTTTCCTTCCTGTAACCATGAAATGTCAAGAGTATGCCTGAAATGTATGTTATGGAAGTTTCTATGACTGAGAGCAGTTCTGGACAGGAAATTCCCACCTCTACCCTAAAAGTATTAAATTCTTCTCTAGAGAAGAGAGACAGAATGGGCAAAGGGGCAGAGGAGGGGAACAGAGAGGGAAGAGGAGAGAGAGAGTGACTGGAACATGGCAAGGACCATGAAACCATCTAGTATCCTTTCTGTGCTCAAATGAATGATAACTGGAACATAAAAATTGTATGTGAAATGGATTTTA